TACAGTTTGGAGATTACACATATTCATATGTAGGCTAACATCAGATACAAGCAAATTTGTTTAATTTGGCCCTTATACAAGGACCAAAGTTAATTTGATAGAAATTTTATTTATGTTATTTGATGCATGGTACATGTTTGTATTACTAATAAAGATTACAGTGATCCTCAAGGATTAAGTGAAAGACAATTTAATATATTTTTTAAGTTTAGCATTATACTGAGAAAAACTGACATATTTCTTTTTCTTTCATCTGCAATGTCAATTTAGTTATCTAAAGCTGTAAATACATTATTCTTCCTACAGGTAAGAATGACTATAGAAACAGAGCATTGGTTCTGTGGTTTTGCAACAAGAGCAATGCAAAAATTTCATCCCTACTTGTAACCACCCCTCTATGACACATGACTGCTGGATATTTTTTTTTTTTGGGAGGGGAGTTTGAGACAGAGTTTCTTTGTGATTTTGGAGGTTGTCCTGGAAGTAGCTCTTGTAGACCAGGCTGGTCTCGAACTCACAGAGATTCGCATGCCTCTGCCTCCCGAGTACTGGGATTAAAGGTATTCGCCACCACCACCTGGTGACTGCTGGATATTTTTACAATAGTTCACAAAAAGTGTTAATAAGAAAGTTTTCTATTCAAGTAGGAACAGTGTATTACAGACCCATTAGTCTTTAGCATGATTTGTATAACACTTAAAAAAAACTGTATCAACTCTTACTACACTTCCTTACTTCTGAGAATTAAAGCTTAATGTTAACCCAAATGGCTATAACTGGATTCTCCCCCGCCCAAGACAGGGTCTCTCTGTGTAGCCCTGGCTGCCCTGGAACTGTATCTGTATATAGATCAGGCTGGCATCGAACTCAGAGATCCACCTGCCTCTGCCTCCCAGTGCTGGGATTAAAGGTGTGCACCACCAACAGACTATAACAGGATATTTTAAAACACCAATTTAAAAGAAAATTATTTTATTGCTTGGTAAGTTCTCTTAGAGAAGTATTCAAGTGCAGTTGGCTCAATAAAGAAAATTTCTTTTGCTACCTGGTAAGTCACCTCAGAGAAGTAACCCTTGTTCAGATATTGTCAACCTTGGCTATCATTGTCACAACACTTCATAATACTCCTGTTTGCATGCTAAGGTTAAATTGCCTCAACTGCACAAACTCCAAGGACATCTTTATGTGTGAAATGAAAAGGAACATGTTATTTCAAAGAAAAGAAACATTCAAGGACTGCTAAAGAGAAAGAATTTAGCTTATTGGTACAGTAGTTGCTAGCATGTGTGAGGTTAGAGGTTCAATCCCCAGCACTAAGGAAAAAAACAAAAAAATCCAAAACAAAACAAAAACAAACCAATAACCCTGGAGCACAACATTCTGGTATGGTTACATAAATTCAAATAACTTGCTTAAACTTAACTTTGTATTATAGTCACTTGCCTTCTCTGGTAGCACAATGACTAGGAGAGCAACTGTAAACTAGATCTTGAAACATATTAACTATGTAAAGTCAGAACATACAAAACCTTACTACTACAATACAAAGTAAATCATTGTTATGGGTAATATACTTGAAATACATTCCAAATACAAAAATTTTAAACAAAAGGAAAACAAATTGTAAAAATTTTCTTAGTTACCCAATGACCAATTTCTCATGTAGTTTCTGCTTTAAAAAATGGCACCAGGCATTGGTGGTGCATGCCTTTAATCCCAGCACTCCTGAGGCAGAAGTAGGCGAATCTCTGTGAGTTCAAGGACAGCCTGGTCTATGGAACGAGTCCAGGACAACCCTGTCTCAAAAAACCAAACAAACAAACAAACAAACAAGCAAAGCACGGGGCGGGCAATGGTGGAGCATGCTTTTGATCTCTGCACTTGATCCTAGCACTTGGGAGGCAGAGGCAGGCAGATCTCTGAGTTCCAGGCCAGCCTGGTCCAGCACAAGCTCCAATGTTACACAGAGAAACCCTGTCTTGAAAAATCAAAATAAGTAAATAAATAAATAACAATACATGGCTAGAGGCCAGCAAGATGGCTTAGTGCATAAGGCACTCGGCATTCAAACTGACTGCCTCAGGTTCAACCCCTGATACCAACATGATTTGAGGAGAACTGACCTCAGCAAATTGTACCACTGTCCTCTAACCTCCCAAAATGTGCCATGGCACGTGTGTGTGCCACCCCCCTTAAGTAAATGTGATAAAACAAACAAAAATGGCCATAAGTTATTATTTTAAGCCACTGTGTAGATGAACACTCCTACAATACTCAACAGCAGAAGAGATTTTGAGGCTGCAACAATACCCTGTGCACATGAACAACAAATTCATTCTCAAAATATAAAAATTAACAAGAAAACAAAAACTAAATTCAATTTAACAAAATATAGACATATGACATTCAATCTTAGTAGCTTTACATTCTCTATCTAGGCCTCACAACTCCACAGATTAAGCATTCCCATTCCCATTCCACAGATGAGGAAACTCAACAGAGCCTCAAAAAGAAGACCACTAGTAAAGAATGCAGTCTCCTGTATTTTCACCAGTCCTTCCCTGCTAAGAATTCAGGAGACCTAAAAATATTGCATAAATGACTAATCATCAAATTTCTGGAAATATGCTAGGCAACATATGCTACAAGAACTTCATGGAAGAGCTAAGGGAACTTATCTTCCAAAGCTATGTCACACAAAAGAAAAACACACACACACACCCAGATTCCTTCTTGATCCAAATTAATGGATCTATTTCACGTTGGTATCTACTTGCATTATTTTGAGAATATGGTAGATTCCTAAAACTTTTAGGAAGAACAGCCCATCAAAGAGCAGACCTTTTTTTTTTTTAGAACAAACATTTACCACAGAAACTAGTAAATCTTAGAAATGAGGTGGTCTGTAGCTGTGCCTATTATAGACTATCAGATCCATTAAAGTCATATTCTCCCAGGCCAAAAAAAGCAGACTGGAACTGGAAAAGATGGGCACGTTATCAAAACCTGATGCAATTATAGGAAAATTCCCTAAGATATAGCTAAGGATGAAAAATGTTGAGAATGATGTTTGTTACATGAACCTTACTGATTCTAGTATTACAAAAAGGGGTTCTCAGTTTGACTTTAGCCATCTTTTTATGACTCAATGCTCTTGAAATCAATTACATTTAAATTTAAGGAGTTTCATTAGCTGGGTGGTGGTGCACGCTTTTAATCCCAGCACTCAGGAGGCAGAGACAGGTGGATCTCTGTGAATTTGAGGCCAGCCTGGCCTACAGAGTGAGAGTTCCAGGACAGGCAGAGAAACCCTGACTCGAACACCCCCCTCCCCCCAAAAAGATGGAGAGTGGAATTGTTTAAACTCACCGCGGGAAACTGTAACCTTAGGGGTGAGGTATACTATGTTTGTGCATATTCATTCATGCTGGAAATTCTTTTTATTTTTTTAATTCTTCACAAAATCACCTTATTTAGTGAAGATACCTCTTCACCTCTAACTAGTTTGGGAGACTTGCTATTTCAGGACCCAATTCAGAAGGGTCACAACAGTCAGGCCCAATTTATTTATCTGTAAAAGCAAGTTCAAACAACAGTGACACTCTCTTGAACGTAATAACCAAAAAAAAAAAAAAAAAAGAAAAGAAAGAAAGAAAGAAAAAAAGAAAAGAAAAAGAAAAAAACCCAAAAAACAGAAAAGAGAAAAAAAACTTCCCAACACACAGGGACTGAAAGGGGTGAGGGGGGCGAACAACATCATAACGTCCCTGTAGGACCATCAGTGACCAAGGCTCTGACAGTCATTCAACTTTCTTGCTAATTTCTCCACTGTTTTTTTTTTTTTTTTCTAGCAGTACAGGCACGACGTGCGGTTTCCTTTTCGGTGTGTGTGACAATTCCCCGGAGCGGGACTAGCAGCCCTGGTCATCTGCGCCGGGCCCGGGAGAACAGAGCCGCGACCGGCCCCTGCTCCAGCCCGGCCTGGCTGTGGCTGCTTCTCCCCTCGGTCCTCCTCGGATCTCCAGGGCTCACAAGAGCAGCAGCTGCATCAGGGACGCTCGGGGAACCTGTCCCCAGTTCCCCCGCTAGGCCTCAAGGGGTTGGCACTGCACATGGCCCCCGGCGAGGCTGCGGGCACTGTGCGGTGGAAGCGGCGGGCGGGCTCGCCTCGGAACCCCACGGCCCCGGGCGGGCAGGCGGGGAGGGAAGCTGTCTCCTCGGCGCGTCGCTCCCTGGCTGCCTCACTCTCCCGCTCCGTTAGCGCTACCGGTCGGCGGGCGGGGAAGGGGAGCGAGCGCGTTATTCCCGGGACGCCGCGGGGGAGGGGACGGCATCGCTTACCCGCGTTACTGAGGAGAAGGAGCAGGAGGAGGCGGCGTGAGCGCGGCGCGGCGGGGCGACGGCGGGGCCGGCTGGTTGCAAGGAAGAGTCTCACGGAAGGGAATTAACCCCATCACCAGCCCGGACACCGGCTCCAGCGGCAGCCGCGGCGGCAGGATCCCGCCCCTTCCCACCACGCACTAGTCCCGCCTCTCCGTTCGCGTTGACGGGTAGCCGGCTCCCTCATACGCTACGTGAACCACGAGTGACATAAAGATTACCCAATCATCGTTTAAACTCCACTTTAGCTCCACCCCACTATCGCTGCGGGGCCGCGGTAGAACTGGGCTATATCTATCTCCACCCCCAAAGAAGAAAGAACCAATCCCTGGCAAGCGATCGTCCTTGAAGGACGCAAAAGACAACCAATGATGAAGCTAGGAGGACAGCCATTTTGCCCACTTGTGAAAGAACCACCTTTTCCCACGAGTAGGACCTGAGGTAGTCGTGTTCCGTGAGATTTTAATCACTGGAGATACGGAAACAACTGTATTTCTTAAGGGAATATTTGTAGAGGTTCTAAGGATGAAAGGAGAATTTTGTCCTTCATGTGGGAGATGTGGGAAGGCTTTAAAGATGAGGCTCCTCCCCTTAGCGGTAACGGATTGCAAGCGGAACACCTGGTTTCTCCAGTCTTAGTGGTGGAGGGCAGGACTGCTGTGCACTTTGGCTTACGGAACTACAGTTCCCAAGATGCCTTGCGACCCCTATAACAGTTTCCTCCACTTGCTTCCTGTTGTGTCTCATGGGAATTGTAGTTCTTCAAAGGTTACCGTGCGCCCCTCTTCTCTAGAGGGTAGGGGGAAAGTTTTGAATAATTTGGATTTATGAATGAGGTCGCGAAGTTCTAGTCAGGTCTTCTAGCCTCACTGAAGGAGTAGCGAAAATATAAAAGAAGAATGGGGAGTTTTCTCAGGATACCACAGGGTTTTAGAGCGCTGGTATTTGAACTCTCCCACTTTCAGGTCATCCCAACGTCACTTCCGCTTAGGTTCGGACTCTTGCAAAAAGCTTGGCGGGAGTTGGAGATCCTGAAGTTAACGCACCCGTTTTGTTGGTCTGGTAGTGCTGTGTAGGCCAAGGGATGGGAAAGTGAATATACCCGACGTGGTGCCTCATGCCTATTACAGCTGGAAGCCGAAAGATCGCTTTGAGTTGACAGCCTGCTGTACAGAGTGAGTTTTAGAGTAATTGACCTTGTCTAAAATAAACACACGCACACAGAGAAATGTGAAATGCACTGAGAGAGAGAGAGAGAGAGAGAGAGAGAGAGAGAGAGAGAGAGAGAGAGAGAGAGAGAGAGAGAGAGAGAGAGATGAAATGTCATGTGTGAAATGCCCGAGCCCCTAATGTAATTTCTTATCCTGCGGACCCAGTGTTTCTTATCAGATCTGTGCACTAGTAGATTGCGCCTCTTTTTGAGTTTGTAGAGGACATTTTCATAATTTGCCTTTAGCCACTGTACGTGGCGCAGTGTGGGTTTGTATCCTCACTTTGAGTTAATTCCTTGTATTTAGTCAAACACTCTCCAGAAGTTGCCTTTGAAGGAAGAAAGCTCGGGTTGTTGGACTGTAGGAATGGTCTTGTTGCCATTCTCTCTTTGAGTAACCCATCCATAATATTAAATGGCAACCAGGTGACACTTGTAATATTCCAGTGACAAAGGACATCATCAAAAAAGACTTCAGAATTCACAACCTAGTAAACTTATCAAATGAGGCATGCCCAGACTGATCACCTCAAGCCCGATGCTACTCAAAGTCTCTTCCATCATTTTTATGGAGACATAGTCTTGCAACTTTTCTTGTAAATATTTATTGAACACTTAGACTAGTAGTGAGTATACCAGTCTTAAAGGGTTCAGTAATGCACACAAAGGTTTGTTTGTTTTTCTTAAATAGGAAGAGAAGGAATAAACAAAATTAACATTACTTGGTATTTTAATATCTCCCTAAACCCATCCTCTTCATAGTCATGTTTTGTGTATTGATTTGGTTTTCTCTTTGCATTCTACTTTTAGATTTAAAAACCGTGTTTGTCTATTTCCATTATTTTTACAGAAGTATTGTCAAGTCTATGTCCAGTACTGATAAGAGGTGTTCATACACCACATAGATGAAACACCTGAGTAGTGCAATCCTAGATGCAGAAATGTGTATCTGTAGCTTGCAGACAACCAATGCAGTCTTCTGTTTAAGAAAAAAAAGTCTTTGCTTTTTAATGTAGTACTTCTGCATGCATACATGCCTGTGTGTGCTAATGAAGGCATCACCTCCTGTCCAACAGTTGTAGTAAGCACAAAGCACCCTTGAGCTGCATCGTTCCCATCGTGGAGTCAGAATGCCCAGTGATGTTCAAACATTAGAATCACTAAAAGCTTAATTGACTTTTCCCCCCATAAACTCATCCAGAGTAAATCAAGTTAATAAGTAGTAATAATGACAATCATATTACTGAGTATTTTATTTGAGCCAAAAATGGGTTAAGTGTGTTTACATATTCCCCAGCCATATATGTAGTTTGTTGTTGTTTTTGGTTCTGAGACAGGTTTTTTCTGTGTAACAGCCCTGGCTGTCCTAGAACTCTTTGTAGACCAAGCTGGTCTTGAACTCACAGGGACCCGCCTGTGTCTGCCTCCTGAGTGCTGGGATTAAAGGCGTGTACTCCAAAACCCAGCTCTGAGTTTTATTTTCGAGTGCTGGAGACAGATTGAGGGCCTAGCATTTGCTAGGTATGTGCTCTGTATGTTACATTCTTAGTCTTGGTATTGTTTAGTAACTGAAGAAATGGGGGGGCTCAGTAAGTGCAATAAGAATTTAAAGTCTGACCCCTTAGTCAAGACAGTTTGAGGCTGAGATACATATCTAGTTCTGTTTGATTTTTTTCAGCCCTAAACCATTGCTTCTCAAATGTTTATGAACCGTAGAGTTCTGCTTTCGATTGTCATCAGAGTTCTGGGAATAAAGGCATTCACCACCATGCCCAGTAGAAAAACACTATTTTTGTTTTGTTTTATTTTTTAAAAGATGTATTCTATGTGTTATGAGTGCATGTATGTATATATACCACATACATACCCATAAGAAGGCATTGGATCTCCTGAAACTTAAGTTCCAAATGGTTGTGAGCAACCATGTAGGTGCTGGGAATCCAACCTGGGTCCTCTGCAAAAGCATCAAGTTTTCTTAACCACTGACTCATTGCTCCAGCATCTCAGCTGGAAGACCTGTTTTAGTGAAATGCTACTGTTTTATTTAAAGCTTAATGGTTGACTTTGACAGTATCACTGTTACTTTTTATGGTTCCCTGTATTCCAGGGTGTAGCTCAAATATTACCTGTTTCTTGCTAATGGCTGTTTCCAGTTAGTAAAATTTTTTGTTACCATAGTGAAAGCATATAGCAAAATCTACCATCTTCAGTATTCTTAAGTGTGGACATTACAGTGTATTAACCATTTGAACCTTGTTGTGTTTAACTTAATGTCTCCAGAATTCATTCATGTAGGATGTGGTAGGATTTCCTTTGCAATACTGAGTCCCTGGTACTTACATGTCACACTTTGTGAATGAATTCATCTATTGGTAGGCATTCAGGTTGCTTTTCTCTCTTAGCTTTTGTGGCCAGTGCTGCAACTAACATGGGAGTGCAAACTTTTACATGTGTGTACACAAGTTAAACTGTAGACTCTGTATGGAGATTAGAGCTTAACTGTGGTTGCCAATTCTCTCTTGCTAATTGGGGCCAAGAGATCAAATTCAGGTCATTGGACTTGGCAGCAGGAATTTTAACTATGAGCCATCTCACCTGCCCAGCTTTTTGAAAGTATGTTTAGCTGTAGAGCCTCTCTAATTCCTAATTATTTTCCAGAAGAAATATTTCCATTTTTTTTTTTTTACTCTTTGAGAGAGCCTGCTTCCCACTTATTTGTGTGTTTGTGTACGTGTGGTATACAGCAGCACTCCCTTGTGTGGCTGCATGTGGAGACAGACTTTCAGTCTGCAATGCCTTCCCCAATCTCTTCTCCACCATACTTTTTGTTTTGTTTTGTTTTGTTTTGTTGTTTTTCGAGACAGGGTTTCTCTGTAGCTTTGGAGGCTGTCCTGGAACTCACTTTGTAGACCAGGCTGGCTTCGAACTCACAGAGATCCGCCTGCCTCTGCCTCCCAAGTGCTGGGATTAAAGGCGTGCGCCACCAACGCCTGGCTTCCACCATACTTTTTAAACAGCTTCCCTTATTAGTTAGACTGGCTGGCTTGGGAACTGCCAGGACCCTGTGGTCTTTGACGCACTCCATCCCACCCTAGTGCTTAGGTTACAGCTTGATTTTCTGGAGGTCTGAATTCATGTCCTCAGACTTGTACAGCAAACATGTTACCCATTGAGCCATGGCCTCAGCCCCCTATTTCCCATCTCTTTGTCTAATCTGATTGTAAAGTGATAACTCATTAATAGAATTTGTATCTATTTGAACCCCTCTGATGCTGAATATATTATATATGTATATATATACATATATATTGCCTATTGATGTCTAGTTTCTTATAAGTAGCCTGTTTAGTTTCAGTCCTTGCAATGCTTTAGTTTTTTTGTTTTTGTTTTGTTTAGTTTGTCACATATTTGGGTACTCTTTACTCACATTGAAAAGTTTCTTTTTAACTTTTAAATGCTGTTTTTCCCAAAATGAGTTTAAATTACTTTAGTGTTCAAATTTAACAGCGATGTCAAAAGTAATTTCCCTTCTCCAGTGAACAAAAAAATATCGTTAAATTTTTTCCATATTTTGTAGTTAACTTGTATTATTCTTTGGTATAAAGAACAAAACTGGAATTACTTTGTAAACTTTGTAAACATGGGGCTTCTGCTGTCTATCATTGCACTAGCTTTTGGTCATGTTTTTGTTTTTAGATAATCCTCAAGTAGCTCAGGATAGCTTTAAAACTCTCTGTGTAGTGGAGGCTGACCTCGAATTCCTGGTCCTCCTGCCTCTACCTCTCCAGTGCTAGAATTACAGGCAGATGATAGGCACTCTATAAATATTGTCAGATAAGTGATCTGGGAGCAATGTTTTAGAATGGAAAAGTTCAGACTTTTACATCAGACCAGTCTAAGTCCTGGACTTGGTATCATTATTAGTCAGTTCTGAAACTTGTGTAATTTATTTAATAGCTCAGAATCAATTTTAATATGCAGATAACAATATTTTGTAGGCCATCAAAATGGCATAGTGGATAAAGGCGCTTCAGGGCTGAGGACCTGGGTTTAGTTCCTAGGATTTACATGGTGGAAAGACAGTTGGCCCCTAAACATTCTCTGATCTCTACACAGATGCTACGGTACTCTCAAGGACACACCACGGGATAAATAAATATAAAAAACTAAAAAGATATATATTTTGTAAGTTGCTTTGAGAATTACAAGTTTTGTAAAATTCCTTAGCATAGTGCCTCCATGGAAGAGATTATCTAATAAGTGGGATTTGGTGTGGTGTTGATGGTATATTGGTGAGCATAACTGCCTTCCAATCAATGGGAGTTATTTTATCACTCTTCTGAAAAAAGCTGCCTATGGAATGAAAGTTATCTTAGCTTTTAAAGTAATTGATATTTGATATGCTAGCTTAGGAAGCCTTATAAGTGAATCAGAAAATATTATGTAATTCTATGTTTATTGTAATCGATATACTATTTTATAATATTAAATTTTTCAAATTAAACATTCTAATTTATTAAATTTAGCCTTTAGTTTACTGATGACCTATAAATATTGTTATATCAGGTCTGGAGTGTAGCTTATCTATTAAGAGCACCAGCTCTAATCTAATTACTCCGCAAAATGCACTAATTTATTTGCTATAATTTTAATTTAGTATATACTTTCTGTTTACTGCAGCGACTTCTACATGTAATCATGGACAGCACTGTACTAGTCCTTTAGTTCCCACCCTGCTGCATCTCTCAAGAAGTCTAGTTGCACACTAGCACTGTGCATGCTCGTGGCCACAATTTATATCTTCTCATCCTTAGCTCCTGTCCTACCTCTGGACCCAGCATGGTCCTCTTGACCTTTGAAACTTTATTTTTATTTATTGGTTGATTTTTTTGTTTTGTTTTTGTTTTTGTTTTTTGTTTTTTTTTTTTTTTTTGAGACAGGGTTCTTCTATGTAGTGCTGGCTGTCCTGGAACTCACTCTGTAGACCAGGCTGGCACTGAACTTAGAGATCTGCCTGCCTCTACCTTCCCAGTGCTGGGATTAAAGGCCTGTGCACTACCACACCCAGCCTGTCCTTTGCAACTTTGAAGAGAAGAATAATAGTGAGCACTCAGTGCCAGGCACTTCTGGGTGTTTAACATTAGTAAACAAAACAGAAAGAAATCTTGAGTTTGCCTACTTCAGAGGCTCATCAGCAGGTGGATCCCAAGTTCAAGGTCAGCTTAATTGACTTAGTCAGACCCTGTTTTGAAATAAAAAGTAAAAGGAAGACTGTAGATACAGCTTAGTGGTAGAATGCCTGTTTAGTATACACAAGGAATGCCCTCTGTTCAATCTTCATTACAAAAAAAGCAAAAATCCCAATAAACCCCTGCCTTTATGAAGCTATATCCATGTTAAGAGAACAGAATAAACAGCAAAAGATGTAAATTGCATAGTACTTTGTAAGCTGATAGAGGCTATCAAGTAGGAAAAAAAATGGAGGCAGGGTAGAGCTATGAGGAGTTAGAATTTAAATAGAGTGGCTAAGTTACTTACTGGTAAAATGACCATTTAGAAGAATGTGAAGGACACCAGGGAGGCAGTCGTGCAGGCCTCTGGGCGTAGAATGGTATGACATATCGTCTAGTGCAAAGCTATGACCTTAAAGTACAAGAGCATTAACAGGATAAAAATAGGTAAGTGATGGAGAGATGATGGCAGGGGGACAGATGGAGGAAAAGATGGAAAGCTAGTAGTGGCACTGAGATCTGAGTAAAGGCAAGAGCTATTCTGAGAAACGGCACCATCCAAAGGTGGCTTTCAGAGTACCTCACTGGATGTTGTATCGAAAGAAGGATTAAGGCAAAGGACTGGTTAAGTTTTCCCAGAAGTTCTGACTAGAGACAGTGATGACTCAGATCAGGCAAGTAGATGATTAGAAATGGTGATATTCTGGATATAATTAGAATGTAGAGTCAACAGGAGTTGCTGGTAGATGGGTGTGCAATTTTAGACAGAATGGAGTGTGAGTACCTGGACGGATACAACGCATAAGGCCATAAATGAATGAAATAAAGATTAGGGAAGAGAATTAGAATTATACTTTTGGAACCTTTGAGATGCCTGTTACCCAGGTAGAGATGTCAAGTTAGATATGAATCTGAAGTTTACAAGTGTTCCTCGTGTATAAATGCAGAAGTTGTTGTATGAGAAATAATATGAAAAACCATGAGTAAGATAACAGGCAAGAATAAAGAAAGCTACTAGGAGCCGATCCTTGGTCCATCTGCCTTTAAAATAGACCGGGAGTGAAGTCTAGACTGGGAAGAATTAAGCAGTAAGGTGGGATGAGAACTGAGGATTCTGTGTTCTAGAATCTAGTGAAAGTAGGAGGAAATGAGGAGGCAGTGCAATGGAAGGATCATCAAGTAAGGACTCATAATTCTTTCCCCGTGTCTTCCTTTTCTTCCCAAGCCAGGGATCTTGTATGTACTTCTTCCAAGAACTCTTTTTCATCCCTTCTGCTTTGGTTAGTAAGTTTATTATTCAGGCTTCAATTTTAATATATAATATGCAAGTTAACATATGCATATACTATATTAAAATACATAAAGGATATATGTATATATGTCTGTGTATATATGCATTATATATATATATATATTCTTCTAAACCCCCAGATCTAAGTAAACAAGTCCCTGTTCTATCCTAGCTTAATACCAAGTACTTCCCTATGGAAAATTTTCAAAGAGCATCTATATTTACTATTAAATAGTCAGAGTTCAACACAGAGTCTATTCTATGTGGAGACTGAGACTCATACTTCTTAATGCACAGCGCCATGAAATTCAAGAGGTTTGGTGTTACAAATTTTTAATTATGGTTCTTTCTAGGGCAAATATTCAGACTATTAAAAACAGGTATTTCTACTGTGATTTAGCCACAAAGCAGAATGTACCACTGTGGCATGTTTGCAATGATCAACAGAGGAAAGACCTACACCTTTGTCTTATTTCTGCCTTATTTTGGCTATATGGTCTGAAAATTTTACCTTTCTGGATTTTCTCATTCTAGACCTCCAGTGTTCACTGGCACATCATTTCCCTCTCACCCTCTTTTTGAGAAAAGTTTATACCATGTAGCCCTGGCTGGCCTGGAACTCAGTGTGGTAGCCCAGGCTGGCCCTCTGAGTGCTGCCACCACTGTGCCCAGTGCAAGTCTTACTTTTTAAGAGAATTATTTATAAGTGAATTTTACTCAATCTTTATTTCCTCAGATTTTCCTAGACAATGATTGTTGTCTTGATTGTTTTATCTTATGTGTTGGGGCATACACAAAGCTCAAAGGAAAACTTTGTATAGTCGTTTCTTTCCTTTTTTACTTGACGTCTGGGGATGAAGCCTCAGGCTTGTGGGGCAAGCACTTTTACCCACTGAGCCATCTTCCCAAATATTTTTAAAATCCCATTAAGCTATACGTTCATTTCTTTTTTTTTCTAAACAAATTATCTGAGTTGGAATTTTAGCTCAGTTGTAGAGCACTTTTTTTGTATTTGCAAGCCCCAGGTTTAGTCCACAGCACCATAATAGGAAAAAAAATATTCAAAGGCTTAAATGTTACTAGTTTTGTAAAACTCCAGTTGATATATGATTTTTTTCAGTGTTGTATTTATTTGCTTGAAATGGGTATGGCTAAATTATGTTTCAAAATGAAATAAAGGCACTTTTGGACCCAGTGCCCTGAGTTTTCTCAGCAGCGTACTCAGGGAACGTGAATTAAGTAGTCTGTATGTAGCCAGTATTCCAGAGCTAGGTGAAAGTGATGTAATTTCATGCCTGTGGCATTCTGCAGTGTGGTTCATAATGTCTCCCCTCACCCCTTTCTTTGTTGTGGTTCCGTTCAGGCTCACCATGCCTACAGCTGGTAACAAAAAGAAGGCTCCTACACCTCAGATTCCTTGTTTAATGAGCAAATCAACTACACAGCTGGATTTTTTACCTGACAAGCTCAGAGAAAAGCTGCTTCCTTTCCAAAAAGATGGCATCATTTTTGCCCTCCAAAGAGATGGCAGGTAAAGTACCTTGAAAATATATGCTAAAATTAAAAAAAATGCTAAAAAGCCAAGATCTGTTTAATCAAATATCTCAAATTTTTCTATAGTGAAAGTGATTGTGATGAAATAGACTTTATCCATAAGCTATAATTGACTTACACTTGAGGTGGAAATACATTCAACAATGCTGAGTTTTAACTGCATTGGATTTATTTATGCTTGCTGGACATGTGTGCCAGAGTACGCTTGTTGAGGTCAGTGTGCCAGAATCACCATGTGAGTTCTGGGGATTAAACTCAGGTCTTCTGGTATCTTGTTTTAAAATTGCTATTTCTTTCTTTCTTTCTTTATTGGTTTTTTGAGACAGAGTTTCTCTGTAGCTTTGGAGGCTGTCCTGGAACTTTTTCAGTAGACCAGGCTGGCCTCAAATTCACAGAGATCCTACTTTACTAAATACTAGCATGGCTTGTTTGGGTTATAAAAAAAAGTACCACCACTAAAGCAGTTAACAAAAAAATGTATTGTCTCTCACTTTCTAGAGGTTAGTAGTCCAAAAGCAAGCTTTTGGCCAAGTTGATGTTTTCTGAGGGCTGTGAAGAAAGGATCTGTTTCAGGCCTGTCATAATCTTTTCCCTATTTTTTAAAATTTCTCTCTCTCTCTCTCTCTCTCTCTCTCTCTCTCTCTCTCTCTCTCTCTCTCTCTCTCTCTCTCTCTCTCTCGTGTGTGTGTGTGTGTGTACAGTGTGTGTACATGCCATGGGTCCTGTGTGGAAGGCAGAGGATAGTTTGCTGGAGTTGTTTCTCTCCTTCTATCATATGGGTCACAGGGATCAAGCTCAGGTTGCTAGTCTTGGTGGCAAGCACCTTTACCCACTGACTAAGCCATCTCTCCAGAATCCAAAATTCTCCATTTTTAGTACCATTTTAACTAGTTTTTACCGGTAGTATTTTTATGGTTTGCAGTTTTTGCACATTTTTTTTTTTTTTAGAAATGTGTGCCTGCTGCCCAGTAATGAAGAGGATATCGTGCAGGCCACCTATCTTGCCTTAGGAATGGTTTTATTAATGAGAATAAGAACATACATAGGGGAACCCAAATTGTACAGAAACAATATGTCACTTGCTATCTTGTTATCTGGAGAGCCAGAAAAATGGGTAACACAATTTACTATGATTCCAAAGACCTAAGAACTAGGAAACTCATGGAGGAAATCCTGCCTCTGAATCCTGGACAACTAGGAGCTGCCTTGTCCAAGGCAGGACACAATGAGAATCCCAGATTCAGTGGAAGAACAAGCTTTTGCCAGTAGTTTCTTCTAAAATATTTTTGCTTTCACTTTTCATATCAATTAGATTTGCAGTTCACTTGGAATAATTCTACTGCTGGTACAAAGTGAATGTCCAATTGTTTTTTTAATTTACTTTTACATGTGCACATTCAGTTGATCTTTCTCAATCTAAAGCAAAGGCTGACTTAGCCCACTGATATGTAGTGATATCATTGTCATAAGTCAAAGTCCTTTTCTAGTTGACTGCTGTGTAATGGAATGTTCTGCCAGGATGGAGATGTTCTGTACATAGATAGTTCCAATCAATACCCATTTTAGCAACCCGTGGTTATTGGGTTCTAAAAGTGTAGCTAATGCAAGGCAAGTGTGCACTTTAAATTTTGGCTAGCTTGAATTCTTTTAAATTTAAATCTAAAGAGTCATATGTATCATCTGGTTATGATGTATTATAACACAGTTGTACATTTATTCTATTCATCTGTTAGGAACCTTTTTAAATTTATTTTTTAAGTGTGCGCGTGTGCGTGCGTGCACGCCTGGAGGTGACAAGAGGATATTGGATATCCTGTTTTATCATAATTCTTTGAGACACTGTCTCTCACTGAACCTGGAGATAGTAAGTCCTAGCAATCCTCCTGTCTCTGTCCCCACCAGCTCTGAATTTACAGACACACAATCATTCTTGGTCTTTTATGTAGGTTCTGGGCATTTGAACTCGGGTCTTCATACTTGCAGAGTAAGTGCTCTTACCCATTGACCCATCCATCTCTTTAGCCTGCCAATTTAAATTTTAATTACTTTTTTATTTATGTATATGCCTGCATGTCTGTGTGTATAACGTATTTACAGGTGCCCAAAGCTGGCCAGAAGAGAGTATCAGATTTCTTGGAGCTGGAGTTAAAAACAGTTGTTAGCTGCTTGGGTGAAGGGAACAGAATTTAGGCCCTCTGCAAGAGTAGGAAGTACTCCTAACTGCTGGGCTATCTCTCCAGACTTTATTTTATCTTAATATTCATTTTTATGTAAGTATTAAGAAAGGCACAAGTGCTATTACATGAATGTGAGGTCAGAGAACAACTTTATGAAATTGGTTCTTTCCTTCCACCTCAAGTTCCAGGGCTTGAACTCAGGTCACTAAGTTTACATGGCAAATACCTTTACCTGTCTGGCCTAGCCCCCAGTTTGGTACCCTTCCTCTTCCCAAACAGTCTCCTTTCTACTTTTCATGTAGATTCTACATGTGAAAGAAGTCATGTGATCTTTATCTTTTGGTTACTTTGCTTAACATGGTAATTCCCAGTTCCATCCATTTCCCTTCAAATTACATTTGGTGTTTATGGTTTAATAAAACTTCATTATGCTTATAGCCCACACTTTATTCACCATTTCATCTATTGCTGGGCATTTGGGCCGATTCCGTGACTTGCCTACTGTGAATAGTGTTTCAGTAAACTTGAAATGTGCATGTATCTTTCCTGTTTGCTATCTTTGACTCGTTTACTTCTGTACCCATGTGGTAGATCTGGATCATATGGGGATTATATTTTTAGTTCTGTAGAGTTTTATTTAACTAACTGATTTTGAGAGAGGATCCCATGCTGGCCTGGAGTTTGCCATGTGGCCATGGCTGAACTCATGATCCTCCTGTCCCGTCTCCTATGCACAAGGATTACAGATGTGTTCCATGATGCCTGACTGTACTTTCAGTACTTTGAGGAGCCTCCATAGTCATTTCCATAGCATCTGCTCTAATTATATTCCTACTAACGTTGGGCAGATCTCCCACGCCTTGCACATTCTCAGCAGTCTTTGATTGCTTGATGATAGACATTCTATCTGTCTGGTGATTTTCTTTTTCCTCTGGCTTTGGAGTAATCTGTTCTTTGTGATTCCAACTTTCATTCACAGTCCCACAAGAGAAACTTTAATTCCAGCATCTTTTCCCACAGGCACATGATTTCTGTACTCTAAAATGACTAGGTCTTCCATATCAAGTACCACAGTTATTCTTAGGAAATTAAGATACTTCATTGTTGTAAATTGCCTTTCAGTTGTAATTTTTTACTGTTTTCTCACTATCCAGAAGTTTTAGTTGGTATGGCTTCCTTTGTTCTACTTCCTGACTTGGTGGTAGTATGCATTCACATTAAAGATTTTACAGCTGTTACCTGTACCAGGTGTCTTTTTTTTTCCCCTTTTGGTTTTTCTCTTTCACTTCCTTTTATCCTAAATTTCCTTATCTCAGCCCCTAGGGAGGAAAGCTTTATGGGGCTCATCCCTACAAGTTTGTGTGAATGCATGCACATGCAACAATGTACTATCCAGGTCAAAGGACAACTTTTGGGACTTCTGTTCTCTCTTTCCACTTTGTGGCATCTTGGGGATCAAACAAGGGTTATCAGGGTTGGCAGCAAGTGACTTTCCTCACTGAGTCGTCTGGTCAGATCCCAGTGTTATCTTTGTTCTTTACTCCTTGGTCACTATTTACATCTGTATTAGACCTTTCTTCAGTGTCCTTTATATCTCCTACCTTTTTTTAGTTTTAGTTTTTGCTTTCTATGTATATATAAACATAAGTGTGTGGATGTGCCTCTATGTTTACCTGTTTGTGCACATTTTACATACACTTGTGTGTGCTTACTTCACTCTAGTTTGCTACCTTTTGCTACTCTTGTCCCGAGAAAGAAACTATTAATGTTTGTAAGACTAAAACCACTTGTTTTTGTTGCTCACATGGGAGAGCTGTATTATTCAATATTCTCTACACAGAACAGTTGCCATCACACCAGGCTTTGGGAAGCATGATGGAGACTTTCATAAAAGAAATGTTGAAGGTTTAGCTGGGTTTCTGTGTCCAGCTCTGGGATTAACTGACTAATGTCAAAGAACAGTCAGTCCTTTCCTTTCCTGTAATTAGAGAATAGGATCATTGTGAACTTTGCTCTTAATTTCACCAGTATATTTTTAAATGCTAGCATATCCAGTTCAAGTCTGTTGTATCTTGCTCGGTGTCACGGTTTAGTTCTGTCTTTATTTCTGTATATATTTAGAGCATTTTTATTTATATACTTGAAATTTATTTTGTTTTTTGTTGCTCTATACATTTTATTTTTTAATGTTCTAGTTTCTTTTATATTGCTGTATTAAACAGTTTGACTGAAATCAAATTTACAGGAGAAAAAGGGTTATTTGAATTACACTTCCAGATCACCCACAATTGGCTAGACACTTCAACATAATTAATAATCCTCTCTCTCTCCCTCTCTCTCTCTCTCTGATATAATACATCTGTATGCACCTCTAGTAAGTCACATGGTTAATGGCGGCATACAGACTTCCTCCTATCTCTCTCTCTCTCTCTCTCTCTCTCTCTCTATATATATATATATATATATATATATCCCTTCCTCCCTATCTCTGTCTCTCTCTGTCTCTGTCACACACACACACGAATGCACTCACACATGTGCTTATGTGTGCACACACAGACCAGTCTGATCCAGTAGTCATTCAATCGAAACCTTTCTTAGGTCACCTAAAGATGTATCAACTAGCCAGGCATTGGTGCACGCCTTTAATCCCAGCACTCGGGAGGTGGATGTCTATGACTTTGAGGTCAGCCTGGTCTACACAGTGTGTTTCATGACAAGCTCCAAAGCAAAGACAGGCTCCCAGTCTCAAAAAAAAAAAAAAAAAAAAGTATCAACTTGACAGTGAAAACTGATTAGG